CCCCAAAACCCCAAAACCCCAAAACCCCAAAACCCCTAACCTTCCAAAACCTATTGAAAATTATAAAACTATGCTCTATATGATGATCATAAATTGACTCCTCACAAAATGATGAACCTTCTTTTAAAATATGAAGAAGTGGAAGCAAAATGCTTAGAATAAGCCTATATACTAAAACAGGAGCATGCCTAACATCTTATATCTCTGCTCCTGAGACAAGAAGACGGCAGAGGTATATACCCAGCTTCCATTGATTAACCAATTTTTACTATTTTATAAGAACCTTATTTTCCTAATTAGAATCAGCAGTAAGCCTTCCTAAGGTGGTTCTATTTGAATAAAAATTGATATTCATTAAGAGAGTCTTGGGATTATTGGAAATTAGTATGCACGAATTGGAAATTTTAGCTTCTTTTTAGTTAAAATATATAAATCTAGTTGGAAAATTTTCGAACTCAGAGTAAGCCTACAATTATATGATACTTAGCATGAATGAGTGATAGAGGCATTATAGTTAATTTGTTAGAGACTTTTTGGTTAAGGTTTAAGAGTGATATATATTTACTAAAAAGCAATTTATTACTGCTTTTACTACTACCAATCAAATGTGTAGCCGCTGACTCCTCGCTCATTTTCCACTACTTTTATATTGGGCTAAGTTGAATTAGGAGTATGGAACATCCTGGTTTATAATTTATTGATTTTTAGTATGGAATATATGAGAAATATTCATTACCCCATAAACTTCAGTGATTAGTTTCTTAACTATATTTCCAAAAGTGTAGACCAGATTTTTTGTTACAATTATCTCTAACAAAAATTGCTTCATGATTTAAGGCAATAAATAATTCAAATTTTAAAAAATTTCCTATGTTTTGAATGCAAACTTTTAAAGAGTAATCGGTTCTGCTATCACAAAATTCAAAAAGGAATCTTTTTCGGAATACGATTACATTGCTTATTTTTCAAATTTCTACAGACGTTCCAAAATTATTAAATCAGTAAGTAAATGTGTAAACCAATATTTTGAAAATTAGTAAGTACAAACAATCTCAGTCTCATGAGATGAGATGAGATAGTTTATTTGGTAATGCCTAATTCAAAGAAAACCACCTAAATAAAAGAAAAATTGGCTTGCCCTGCCTCAGATTGTAATGATTAGAGATAAACCGTTAATTTATAAATAAACTTTTTATGATAAACATTATTAAATGCTTTGAATGCTGAGCTCAGGGAGATACTTCGTTGCTTGAAACTTATGGGCTTTTGGACTCCGTAATGCTCTATTCATACTATGGTAAAGTTAATTTAGTTATACAAAATACGTACTTCACAGGACTCATTATTTTCCTTTGCAAGCGTTGGGGAGAGAAAAATCTGCCATTTCAGTACTTCGATAGCTCCATCTTTGTGCTTAATTTTTCAAGTAATCTTCTATGGATCAGTTCACATTTGTCTAAAATTCGTTCATCTCTGCAGAGAATTCTGGAATTAGTTCTATTTCTTTGGAGCAGCCTTCTTGCTTTTATAATTGTTCAGATCCACTTTATGAATATTCTTATTAGCTCTAGACTTGACTCTGAATTGGCTTTTATGAAATTTAGCCTTATTCACCACATTCTTCTATAAAATAAATCAGCTACACCATCTAGTAAATTGTGTCAATGAGTTTACCAAATAACTGAGTGATAAATAAAAATGATTCGCAACAATTTTAACTAGCGTTAAAAACTCCCAACACCATTCCTCCTTCAAACATAAACAATTTAGTCAAGCTAAGCTGAATAGTAGATACTATAGCCATGTTAGAAAGCTCAAGGAAGAACTACCCTATACAAGTTTGTCGCAGTATGAATCCCGAGTGTTTACCATAATACCAATCCTACTCTCACCCAGCCCAAAACCCACATCTAAGCCAACTCCCAAGAGCTTACTCTAAAACTCCTACTCATTCTGCACAGGTACTGCCTCTCCTCTTGGCTTTAACGAACCTCTTAGATTTTATGAAGGAAGTTGGAAACTTAGTAGCTTTGTTATTGGAGAGTGAATGACGTTTTTTAAAGCTGAAGAGACTGTAATGGTGGCTAAAGGATTTTGTAGGCATTTTTAAGAGAATTATGTGTTTAGAGTGATGTGAGGGTTGGCTATTTAGACAACCTGGAGGAGAACTAGCATTGATTTAGTAATTATTAGTAATATGGGAGAATTAGGAGACAGATAGGGGGAATATCTGTATTTAAAGAGATTTCAGAGAATTTTGATATATGAAAAAATTCAAAAGATGCTATGAAATAAAAAGTTTATAAAAATTAACAATACTGGGCTGATTCGTATTATCCTCAATTTCTTATAATTTTCATTAGAGAAAGGGAGTAGTTGTAACCAAGTAGCTCCTAGCATAAAGCTGCTAGATATTAAAGTTCTTCAATACAAACAGCGTGTTATAAATTGACAAGCTTTTTATAGTATCCGAATTATTAGATGGACGTTCTTAACTTAGGATTAGTAAGCTATGAGGTTTAAACACTTCATATTGCTTATTTAAGCCCATTAATAAGGCTTATTAAGTATTTTTGATCAATGAAACAAAATGCGTTTTATAAGAAGAACTTCAACATTCAAAAATCTCTGGTTTTAAAGAATCACTTACGCATGAGTCCTTCTTTAGTTTAATTGACTTAAGGAACTTGCCTGATTTAATCCTAGATAAAGTTAGGGCTATAACACTCGGAATGAAGATATTTATACCTTTTTTAATTATTAAGAGAAATATCATTATTAATCAGAACTAGTTATTCAAAAAATCTTATCGTATAAATGTTAATCAGGCATAATTTGAGAGATTTGAAGCAAATGAAAATTCAAAAAATATCTTAAAGCACCACCCAGACAAAGTTTTATTAGGTTTATTAAATTCTTGCCAAATATTGTTGAATTTGGATATCATAGAGCCTAATAAGAGAAATGGTCAAAATTTTGATATTTTAGTCTTGAACATGTCATTCAGACAGTTTTCAATCCTTACCTTAAAGCTTTTATATTTGGGGAACCTAGTCTTCTAATTTGAGATTCTCCAAGTATTCTTGTAAGGTCCAGTCTGGTAAGGCCGGCCTTCTTGGCTAGTTCTGCAAGCACTGGCTTATCTTTTTGGTTAAAACTAATCGACATATTTTTATTAATCATGAATCAATCAGATATTTATAAATTGGGGTTTTGGGGTTTTGGGGTTTTGGGGTTTTGGGGTTTTGGGG